AACTTTCTGCCTTTTTTATAGCTTCCAAATTTCTAAAACCCTTGTCCGTTCCAAATATCCTGCAAATTGAAGAAGTCGAAACGTCTTTATCAGTAATTGTTTTCGATATCTATTGAAGTCAAGTAAATCAGTGTTCCACAGAGCTGGTTTTAATGCTATGAAGTTCAAACCGATAATGTAAACAAAACAAATGGTTGGACCCTTCTTGGACCAGAACTCACCAGTCCATGTAAGTGAATGTCGACGAGTAGTTGCCAGATTTTGTGAAAAGCAGACGGTGATGATAATCATGGAAGTAAGCACTGTGGAGCACGAGCAAAGAAGCCGATTTCAGGAACAACAGACATAGTACAACGTATTCTTATTAAAACATGACTCACCCCCCATATAAAGGTATGAAGTTTGAAGGGCTCCACGGAAAATGATAGCCACAATGAGCCTCGACTGTCTCGAGCACTCTAAGAACCATCCATAGCCACAGAGTCATTAGATGGGGGCCGGTAAGAGCAGGACCGACAATGGTGGCAAATCCAAGGAACAGGATCTCAGCAGGGTGAGCATATTCTGATGTTAATCCAAAAGGGGTAGCATATCTGCACTTGATAAGCAACTTAGAACAGCCTAGGACAATTTTATCATGGGAAAACACAGAATAGTCATTAATTTTCATTTATAAATCTCACTTACTCGTGATGAACGCTGTGCACATTCTGGTACAGCCATTTGGTATGCAAAATTCTATGCCCCCAGTAGAAAACAAAATCCTCCACGATAAAGTAAAATATTATCTGGCCGAAAACTACTTTCCTACATTAAATGAAACCCGAACTAACTTAAAGCCTATCAAAGGTAATGCTGTGATCCAAGATAAGAAAACAATAAAGAACCAGAAGATACCAGGATGGCAATGGAAGAGTGCTTCTCATTCCCATAAGCTTGAAGACAGGATAAGAAACAATCATAACTGGCAGATTTACACCAAAATGATACAGCAATAGACGTGAAATACATTTTCCTTGTGCAGCAGAACTATTAGTCTTTGCCTGCAAAAAGCAGAAAAGACTTATTATATCACAACTAAAAATAATTCGTCCAAAATGAAGATTGAGTTAAAACTACATTTGTTCTTATAATCAATAGCCTAACAGAACGCAGTAGCGAGGGGCACTTTTGAGATCATATCCGTCCGAATGAGATAAGAGAATTCCAATTCCACTACTATTCTTTTTTCTTCTCAACATTGAAGAAGGAATGAAAAAAAGGTAACAAGTAAAAAAATCAGAATCCCCAGATTCGTAAAATCGTGCCATCCTTCCTGGGATTCTTATTTTTTTACTTCCTGGGATGGATGGCACGATTTTACCAATCTGGGGATTCTGATTTTTTTACTTGTTACCTTTTTTTCATTCTTTCTTCAATGTTGAGAAGAAAAAAGAATAGTAATGGAATTGGAATTCTCTTATCTCATTCGATATGATCTCAAAAGTCTCCATGAGTTAATTGAGCTGTAATTACTGAGCTGGAAAACTCAGTTGATAGGTACTTTGTCTGCATCCTTAAGTATCAGCAGTATCGTCTATAAGGCAATCAATGAGAAACAGTTCTTTCCTTTTTCATCTCATTTTTTTTTTTCCATAGCTCAACATACGTATAGGAAGTTGACGGAAGCTGGATTATTGTCCTTGGCTGCAAAGGAGGAACAAAGCTGAAAGCAGCAATGTAAGAGAAGATAGATAGAAGAAGGTGCTTTAACACCAGATTCTTTCATTGGTTATGGCTGCAAAGGAAAGGAAGAACACCATAGTTGAGATTCTCTCCGTTGTTGGTAGACTAGTGCTTAACGAGGATGACATAGTTCCGGAATTCTTGGCTTTTTACAAAGCTTTACACACAAAAAAGTGTAAACTGGAGACTTTTCCCACTACCATAAATTGGAGTCCAATTGATGTCATTTTGGCTACTGATTTAGAAGCTCCTTTCACCGAACTTGAAGTATGCAAGGGAGTACAGCTTCTTGGAACAGACAAATCATCTGGCCTAGATGGTACTGCCACCGAATTCTTTAAAAAAATGTTGGAACATTCTAAGAATTGATATTATGAGAGTGTTCCAATATTTTTTCCATAATGGAACCCTAAACACAAATCTCAATAAAATTTACATTTGCCTCATCCCAAAGAATCTTGAAGCCTGAGCAGTGGCTGATTACCAACCAATTAGTCTCGCCACCTGCCCGTGCAAGATTGTTGTGCGTGTTTTTTCCGAGTGGCTATCTTTCTCAACAGAGGATTCATGGATTTGGCTTCCTAATCTGAGTGGCTCACTTTCCACAAAATTGCCTTTACCCAACATGTTTGACCAAAACTACCCTTTTCGAAACACGAAAGCTCTGCTTAGAAGAACATTTCTAGGGCATCTTTTTTTTTTTTTTGACTTATAAGGATAATTAAAATTAGAACTAGTTAAAGTGCTGCATTTTCGTCTTAAAAGTAAGGCTGACATTAAAGCCTAGACCAATAATTTTTTTTAATCTCACAATTAATCAAGATCAAGAAATCAACTCATCCTACTTTTTTAATTGGATGAGAATGAATGAAGAAATACTGAGTTGTTCCATATCAAACCTGTAACTTCGAATCTTTCCAGAAAAAGTGCTGCTAACCGCTAATTTAGTTCATAATCATACATGAATCACTAACGAAGGTAAATCTAATTCAAGTATCAAATATTGACTAAATATTCATTGGTTATAAAATTTGTGGTGAAGTAAAAAAGCAAACCTGGATCTTGTACTTGCTCAGCCATCCTGCTTTTTCGAGAAAAATAAAGGGAAGCCCAGATAAGAAGAAAACGCTTTCATGGATTATGAAGCTTCCAAAACAAGCGAGTTGAAAATCACTAAAATTCGTAATCAAATACTGCACCATAAAGCAAAAAAACCCATCAAAGAAGCACCAAATACAAAAAGAAACACAGTTTAATTCTACTAATAAGAACCATAGTGTAATTCTACACTCAAGCAAGTCAATGTTTTCAATTAAAGGAAACACTCATTCAAACGCAACCCAAATTCAATCCTCCAATTGGAAAACAAACAAAAAATCTTAAAAAAAAAAAAAAGGCACCCATAACCTCATCATATTACATCAAACGTGCAAATCATTAGCTCTCAACATTAAGATCCTATTTCAAATCAACTATAGAGGATGAAATTCAACCTAAAACTACATCAAAAACCGCAATGTCACTCTCACGTCAGCAATCGATTAACAAATAAGAGACGGAAATTCAAGGACAACACTCCCACATCAAAACCTACTTGAAAACGAACGTAATAAATTCAAATAAAAAAAAAAACTACTCGCAGAAGTTTAGAATCAAATCGGTGCTTGAAAACGAAGATCAAATCTAGGGCGGAAAGAACAAGATTATGAAGAGAAAAAGCAGTACCCGCCAGGCAGATTCAAGAAGAGCAGCCATGAAAGACGGGAAGAAATAAGCAGGGAATGGGAATCAGAATGAAGCAGGAGAGAGCAGGGCAGTGCAGAAGAAGACGATGCGGCCACCGAGACAGACTGGAAGAACAAAGGAATCTATGGGTTTTTGGTTTGCGTTTTATATGAATCTCAAATCTGTATCTCTTTCTCTCTCCGTCCACTGATTTGCCTTTTTCTGCCATTTCCAGCCGGACCTGTCTTTCTCTCTCTAACTGTTCGTTTTTCTCTCTCTTCCATTTCCAATCAATTTAACTTTGATTATTAATAAAAATTGTAACTATATCAATTAAATTACTCCATTTTGTTAATAAATTATAAATACATAATCTACAGAAATTTGTAAAAATTGATAAATAAACAAAATTGAGGATCGAAATTGATTTGGTTATATAACGGTTTATTGATTTTGTGATAGAATTATAAATTTAAAATAATATTTTTCAAAAGAAATCAAGATGTATAATTTTTTTTTAAAATAATTTTTAGTAATATATATATTTTCTAGATCACTCTAATTATATTTTTGGATACACTGGGAGTAGGGGTGTACACTCAACCAGACAATTCGACAATACCAGTGGATTTGGGTTGGATTAGCTTTTCGGGTTGGTTTGGGTTTATGTTTCTGAACTCGAGCTATTCAATTCGGTTTCGAGTTCATGGGATACAACCCTCGAGTTGACCCGAGCCAAATAACAATATATAAAATATACTAAGGATTACATTAATGATAAGTTTGCAACATTATTTCAATTCTAATATTTTTTTATTTTTGTTATATATAGTATTTTTAAACTAATCATTTTTAACTATCCTTATATTATATTTTTCTACTTTAAACTATCTTTATATTATATTTATTTTTCTACTTTAACCAATTTTAAACTATCCTTATATTATATTTATTTTTCTACTTTAACCAATTATTGTTGTTCTAGTTATTTTATCGTTGTTCTAGGTTAATGTGTGTTTGTGAACTTTTAATTATCTTTTATCTAAAACTTTTTTAAAAAATATTTTTTTTTAACAACCCGAACTCGAACCCAACCCGAAAATAGAAGGTTGGGTTGGGTTGCGAAAATTTTCGGGTTGGGTTACCAATCTAACCAACCCGAACTTTTTAGTTAGGTCAAAAAAATCTCTCAATCCAACACCCCTAACGGTAAGTTCCTTCTCGATTTCATGCCAATTGACAGCTGCTCTATTTTGTATTATCCCACTCAGACCTATGAGTTATTTCACCAACGATCATATAATTCCTGAAAAATGTAGACCCACGATTGTTCTGACACGTACCTTAAGAACCTGACCAAGCATCGAAATAGGATAAACAATGGATCTACGAACTGGATGAGCACAAACTTTTTTTAATTACTTTAGATATCCAAGAAAATTATATGGAGCTTCCTTTTCGTTTACGTTATTAGTTTCACACTAAGATATACAACAAAATTATAAAACGTATCTCGAATATATATCCGATAGATATTAGGATGCATACAAATCACAATCGTTCGGGCTAGCTTTATTCAGTAATTTGGACGCTTAAACAAACAAATGATCACTAGAATACTATGTAGAAAAACATTCAATATCTCTGTTCCTTCTAATGTTAACTTGGATCAAAGCCATTAACAGACATCCCTCCATCGACACCAATGATTTGGCCAGTAATATAAGATGAAGCAGGTAGGCAAAGGAATGCAACCAGAGATGATACCTCACTCGGTTCTCCGAGTCGTCGAAGTGGAGTTCGAGAATATACCTCTTCGACGTATGCTTTGTTACTCAACACCTAGAAGATACGATATATATAGCACGAGTAAAGCGAGACAAATATCACGAGTGACTATTCATGAGTTCAGACAAAATGGGGTTATTCGAGATTTACTTGTTCTACCATTGACGTTTTGATGTACCACGGGGCGACCGCGTTGCTCCTTATGTTGTCTTTTGCCCATTCACAAGCTAAATATTTTGTGAGTTGATTGATAGCTCCTGGAAAGAGTCATTACAAAGTTCAGGAAACTAATGTTTGCATCCATAAAACTTGGAAACCACAGGTAAAATTGATCACTGATCGATCACCTTTTGTTGCTCCTTGAACAGACATGGACTTCAGAGAGACAAAGCTCGACACGGAGGACATGAACACGATGCTCCCCTCGCCCGAGGCTTTTAGAAAAGGATGAGCGAGTTGAGATAAATGGAAGACAGATTCGATGTTCGTTTTCATAAGGAAAGAAAATTCTTCATCTGTGAACTCTGTTGTTGGCTTTCGTATATTTCTACCCACATTGTTTACCTACAAGATTGATGATCGTAGAAATAGTGTTCATGGTCTGTAAGGATTGAAAGAATCATGTTTTTTTTTTCTTGGATTTAGAATTTGCCCATTTGATGCTGGAAGATGGGTTCATAGAAAAGCCTCTCAAATTCATTTCATCATCAACATATCCAACAATTTTAAACGTACGAATTAGGCATGCCTCCTACTAGCTACAAGCTTCCTCCTAGGCCTTTCAGGGTGAGTAACTAACCTAAAGGAATTTAGAAACACATTTAGAATCCAGTTCAAAGCATAGCTCAAAATGTCCAAGGGTCGTGTGTGGATTTCCAAAGCTTGTCTATGGAATTTGGTCTTTGTAATTGCTCGTCTTCAAGTCCTCCGGTGAGATCCCACATCGATTGGGGTAGGAGAACGAAACCTTCTTTGTAAGAGTGTAGAAACTTCTCCCTCGCAGACGCATTTTAAAAACCTTGAGGGGAAGCCAGAAAGGAAAAAACGGTGGACTTGGACTGTTACAAATGGTATCAGAACCATACCCTAGGCAATGTGTCAGCGAGGAGGTTGAGGCTCGAAGGGGAGTGGACACGAGATCGTGTACCAGTAAAAGACGCTGGGCCCCGAAGTGGGTGGATTGTGGGGTCTCACATCAATTGGAGAAGGGAACGAGTGTCAGTGAGGAAGCTAGACCCCAAAGGAGGTGGATTGTGAGATCCCACATCGGTTGGGGAGGAGAATGAAGCATTTTTTATAAGGGTGTGGAAACCTCTCCCTAGCAAAAGCATTTTAAAAACCTTGAAGGGAAGCCCAAAGATGACAATATTTGCTAGCGGTGGGATTGGGCCATTACACCTCCACTTCTTTTAGCCAAGCCATGTTGAATAGAAGCTTTCGTCATCCTATGATTTGCACTTCCTTGAGCCAAACACTCATGGTTCTACACAGGTTAGCTAAGGCTTCATGTAGCTTCCTAGACTTGGTTCTTGGCATTGACTCATGTGAGTTTTGATACCAATTTTACAACCATTGAAAGCAAAAGAGAGAACAGGAAAGTAACCCAACAAAGTAAAATGCATCTTAATCTAAAGCTAAGCAAAGCACAAGAAAGGTGCACCTTACAAGAATGTTGAGTTTCCCATTAAAAGTATCAGCCACAGTCTTCATTAGCTCCTCTCTCTGAGCTCGAACAGACACATCACAAACTGACCCAGAAACCTCGAACTCCAAATCCTTCCAATCCCTCAAACACTGTTTCAGCTCACTCTCATTCCGAGAGCAAGTATGCACTCTCGCACCAAAACCCACTAATTCCTCCACAATCGCACGCCTAAACCAAAAACCATTTCCAAATTCTCAAAAACAGCAGAACAAACCCCAACAATCTAAAATGATAATTTATATGCCAACATAGATACAAATTACCCGATTCCGCGAGTGCCGCCGGTAACGAGGGCCGTCGTTCCGTGAAGAGACCACCGATGGTCGCCTGGTGTGCTGCCATTTTTGGCTTTGAAGTCGGATTCAGCTTGATTTCTAATGGATTTGAGGCGTTTAACGAGTTTGTGAGTTGAATTTGATGTGGGAAGCCAAAAAGGTTTGAGGGAGCGGGAAATAGGAGATGAAGAAAATGTTGAACGATGGGGCTGTGAGGGATTGAAGGTAGAAGAAGAGAGTGAATCGAAGGGTGAAGGTGAAACAAGAGCCAAGAACATTGTTCTTGGGAATGGCCTCAACAGATAGCAGGTCTCGCCAGTCTGAGTTTCAACAACACCTTCGAAAATTGTAAAATTAATCCAAATTGTGTTTTATTTTCAAAAGTGATCCACTTTTTTTAAATGCCCTTTTTGACCTTTTTAAAGCCACTTATATGTATGCGAAATTTCTCAAATACACCTCGTCCCTCCACTGTCTCGATGAATCTCGATCATTCATTCATGGTATGCTCTAAACCATTCTTAGCATCACTTGATTTATTTAGATGTCTATAATTAAGCATACTAATACAAGGCAAAAGGGTGAATATCAAATAGTTGATTTTAATTGGTCGTGTAATTTCTAACAATTATTATAAAGTAACCCAAAAATAAGATTTGTGACAAACTTTGGTTAAATTATTTTGACTCAAATCTATGAACTCGAGTCATCTTTTCTGTTTACTAATTAGTAAATATACATATTAATCACTTTTAAGTATCTACTTAAATAACAATAATAACAATAATGTCAACCATAGCAATCTTTAATCTATCCATAACCAATTTTATCATAGTTCAACAAAATAAAACATAAAAAACGTCAAAATTGAGTAAAAGATTCACAAAGTGAAGGGAACTTGATCCATGCAATTAGGAAAATCATGTATCTGCCCATCTAAAAGAAGCCTAAAACAAGCTCAATTGAGGCAAGAGGGTAATTGTCTTTCCATCATATGGAAACTTAATTAAAGTTTGCGTTCAAAGGAACATCCAAGAAATCACCATTTGTGAATTCAGCCGCATGGCTTAAAGGGAAGTTACAGATGACAATGTACCTCTTATGTGAAAAGATGTGCTTCATAATACAGACTATTCTGAAATTTGAAAAAGATACTTACTTGATACAGACTATTCAGGGCCTCTTCCTTTCCTCGCGTTGAACGATTCCAGTGCCTTCTTCCTTAACTCGATCTCTAGTCTTTTGTGCTCGGCCTCATCTGCGCCATTACGCTTATAAGACTCGTCTTTTGCAACTTGATCATCATCTGAGTCATCATCACTAAGGTTCTTAGCTTTTGTCTTCTCTGCACGCCGCTCTTCCTTTTTCCGCCTACGCTCTTCGCGTTTTTGGCGCTTCTTCTCCTTCCGCAACCTCCTCTCCTCCTTCTTCCTCCTCCTGGCTTCCTTCCTCTCCAATTCAGTATCATAGCTGTCTTCAGAGTCCGAAGAAGTGCCGTGTCTGTCTGATTTTCTGTGTCTTTTCTTCTCCCTACTTCCAGTTTTACGCTTATAGCCTTCCTCCAAATCAGAATCTGAAGCCTCGTCCCGGTTATTATGATCAACTTTTTCAACTGTCAAATGCTCAGTTTCCTTGGTCTTACTTGGGAGCGAATGGCTCGTTTCATCCTGTTTCATACCTTCTTTGTGTGATGACGAAGATTTTTGTACATCGGGGCTTGCAGGCGCCTCCTTTCGAGAATGCTTACTACTGCAAAAATAAACATGAAACACAAACACGAGCGCAAATCTGTGACTTCACATATAAATGATTAAACTATCAGAATATATTTGTCCAAGAGATGGGAGAATGAGGTCTTTAGTTCCTGATATTTCTTTCTAAATTCCAAAGCATCAGGTGCAAGTTCATAAATTAACCTTCCAGGTGAGAGAACTTTGGCATCCACAGGAGAATTTTTCGTCTTACCGACAATGGAAGAATTCAGGGACTTTCTATTCCCACTCTCCCTACAAGGAATATAATAAAAAATAACAATCCAAAAAATGAAACCCACAAGAACAAATGAATAGTTCATTGGCTCATAATTGAACTCACCTAGCGTAAGCGACCTCGTCTTCCCTTGTCCTTGTTGAACGGCTGTCATGACGATACTGCTTTGCCCGTGATCGTGGTGAACTTAACCTGCCATGATGAGAACATTGTTCGTTTATCCTTACTAAACTGAGGACTGGCCTCCCAAAGATGCAACAATCATATAAACTAAAAAAACTCGAAAAGTTATTGAAATAGAAAAACACGAAGCGTTATAATAAATTAGAAAAATGATAACCTCCTATCATCGCTAGCACTCCTCGTAACTGGTGGAGAATCTGTTAGTGCTGGAGACTTCTCCAAAGACGATGGTGAAGCCAATGTTCTGGTATTGGAATTGTTCCCTTCCCTAGAATTCCTTTCTGGTGACCTCAATGACCTAGAAGGTTGTTGGGATGCTGGGGATGTCTGAACATTTCTGTATCACAGTTTTAAAATGTGATCAAAACCATGAAGAAACCTTAATCATCTGAACAGCGTCAAGATAAATGAAGATTAATATGTATATTAATCCCACAAGACAACCATATCTGACAATGCAACTGAAATCTCCAGGATATGTTTTCGAAAAAAATGTGCATGTAGAGAAATGGGAAGGATACAAAAAAAGGCTACACAACTGACGGCTCAATAGGAGTCAGAACGAGGAAACCTAAGCATACACAAAACAACTTCCATCCAAAAGAATAAGATATAAAGGATTATTACAGAAAAACAAAAGTACAAAGAAGGGCCATTAAACTCTCCTAATTTTCTCAAATGCTCCAAAGAATGTCAAAAGAACTCGAACGTTAAAGAATCTAACCCTTATCACAAAACGAACAAAAAACATCATCAAATAGCATCATATGAGACAAACAGATACTTAACTCCAATTAACTCCAAATAAGAATCCAAAAGGAAACTCAAATTCACATTTCCAACGAATCTGATCCAAATCATTAAACGCTCCCCAGTAAATAAAAATAATGTATGCATCCTTAACGACAGGGACTAACAAGGAAAAGTGCCTCTCAGGACCACTGTTATTTAGTGACCATTGTCGCTTGCCTTCAGGAATTTGGGTTTTAATTGGCTGTACAGGGACCACTATAGTTTGTATTTATGACCTCAAGGACAACTACAGGTCTCGTCCATGATTATCTGGCTAAACCTCTGATGGGTGAATAGAGAAATCAAATTGATACATCTTTCATTAAGCTATGCATATCAGAAATCTGATTGAAAGCCTAATTTTGTTTAGGTGCTTCACTATGACATTGATTTGAAGGTTCTCGACATAAAATATCAAAAAAAAAAAAAAAAATCAGCTACATCCAGTAGATTTATTTTTCTGTAGTGGCTAGTACCCTTGCCATCTAGCAATTACGAACAACAATTTACAAAAATAGGTTGCATAAGATATAATTCCTAGTGCCCAAAATCCAAATTGTGTCTTGTCTACTTATTTCAGACAATCATCAAACACACATGCAAGTAGGTAGAAATTATTGCACAAGATGCAAGCTTAACACAGAAGAGAAGAATTACCTGCCGGGAGATTGAGAGAGAGACCTCCTCTGATGTGCAGATTTTCTTTTGACAGGCGAAAGGTTTCCCTGCTCCTCCAATGAACTCCGATCATATGGTGAAATGGATCTACGTCGAGATGGACTTGATCTCTTGAGGCGTGCTGGAGATGACCTTAGTGGTGATGGAGGTGATTTGCTCAATGGGGTTGATGGAGATCTATGTTCCAGGGGTGAAGGTGTTCTGTGATGATCAAGTGGTGATGACCTATCCAATTTCCTTACTGGTGAGGAGGAAGTTGACAAACGCCGTCGTACTGGAGAGCGAGACTTGTGGCGTCTAACAGGTGAGCGTGATCTACCATAGCCTACCAGAGATGGTGATCTTCGACGATGTGATGGAGATGGTGATCTACGACGACGTGCAAAAGAAGGTGACTTGCGGCGGTGTGGAGATGGTGATCTATGATGCCGTGGTGGGGATGGTGACCTTCGACGTCGTATAGGAGATGGTGACCTTCGACGCCGTATAGGAGATGGCGACCTGCGACGCCGTATAGGAGATGGTGACCTACGACGTCGTCCAGGTGACGGAGACCTACGACGCCACTCTGGTGATGGTGATCTACGACGCCATTTAGGTGATGGTGATCTACGACGCCATTTAGGTGATGGTGATCTACGACGTCGAATACCTGAAGGTGAACGACGACGTCTTATAGGTGACAGTGACCTACGTTGGCCTACGGGTGATGGTGATCTCTTATGCTTATCAACTGATGGTGACCTTCGACGGGTAGGTGATGATGATCGACGTTGTACAGGTGGTGGTGATCGATATGGTGATTTACGAGGAGGAGATGGTGAGCTATGTTGAGAAGGAGAACGAGATTTACGAAGTGAAGTAGATCTAGATCTCCTTGAATATGGTGTTCTACGTCGGGGAGAGAATGAATCACGACGATCCCTTCGATGTGGACTTGCAGACAATCTTGCTCGTGAAAAAGAGCTCCGTCGTCGTTGAGGTGATCGAGATCTGCTTCTTGACTTGTGTCTATCACTAAAAAAAAAATTTGACAAAAACATTAGCACAAAAAAGGAGATTCCAAAAACCTCCATAATAGCCTCACATACTTTCTATTAAAAAAAACATTTTTACTGTTGTAACACAAATAGACATGTGCATCCCTAAAACTTAGAAATAACAAGAAAATAAGATATGCAACTGTTTAACTAATATAAATATATTAATTACATTGGATCTCTATTATCATACTAAAATAGACAGCGTACTTAAAGTAACTTCTAGAACTACTACTAAAACTAAAAACCGGCTGGCTTAAAGACCTTGAAGGTGAGCCTTTGCAAAAGACCCATGTGCCACATATTTGTGACTTGTGAAATATGATAAGAAATTCCAAAAGGGCAGCATGCATCAATTTGGAAAATAATCCAGGAGTAAAGGAGATTGAAGAGCTAAATGACACCAACAGACTCTGTTACAATATATTATTAGCTTTATTAATACTCAATTCAGTATATGTTGGTTAGAAGAAGTTATGCACTTTCTTATATACAGAAAATTTCTTGGTCACTTGTAGTTGAAGCTTATTTATGCTTAGCAATACCGTTATAAATATCAGACATGCATGAGTATATCATTCTCAAAGACTTCTAGTCAAGAATCCGGTTGAACATTACAGTGCACTTTCAAGAAGACAGAATGCATGACTTCTTAGCACAAGCAAACCAAAGTGATAGTGTAGCGTCCAGTGGCAGAATTGTTATCAATCATACTCAAAACTCCCAACGATACACTCCATGCCATTGTCCAAGTAAAAATCTTAAGTCATTCGCAATATTTTCTTCAAGCAATTGTATCCATGCCATTGTCCAAGTAAAAATCTTAAGTCATTCGCAATATTTTCTTCAAGCAATGGCATTAGACTTGATAAGAAAGAAGGTAAACTTCGTTATAATTTTAAAGGTACAAAAATGAATCATCACACTAAAGTTGAAAATCAGTCTATTGAAATTCATTACCTGCTTCTTCCCCTAAAACCATTTCTCTTTTCAGCCCCTTCCTCTTCCTCTGAATGATTTCTCGTAGCCCTTGAGCGCACATTCTTTGAGGTAGGCTCCAAAGCGGCCACCTTTTCAGCCCCATCATCCTACAGTAGTTTGAGGTAAAGGACATGAACCCAAATAATTGCAGAAGCTAGCTGAATGCCAGAGGAAATACAAAGAAAAGTTATGACCAAAAACCAATTTGAATAAATAGTAACTCCAACATGAATAAACTATTTACCATCTTCTTCGATCTCTGCTCCTCAATTTCTCGATTTTCCTTCTCTCTCTTTTTCTGAATTTCATTTGCAAGAAAATCTGACTCTGCCTGTAATAATCAAAGATAACAAATCAGTAGAAAGACACCAAGTAATCTAAGTAACTACTACTAGTACAATAAATCTTGACCAAATCCAGAACCTTCTTCTTTCTAATTTCTTCTTCTTTGGCATCCAAAAATTGTTGAGGGACACCACTGGCATTTTTCTGGGCACTAAGGAGTAGTGTCCAAAGCTCTTTCATAAATTTCACAGTATTCTTTTCCATGAACCCAGTGAGTTGTATTTGAACTTCCTTCCCATTTACTTCCTGCACCAAAGCAGTTATAATTGATGCATATTGAACAGTATGTTGCCCAAGTGCAGATAGAATATCTATTTTTATAACTGTGACAGCCTCGATTCATCTGCCATTTGCCACAAGCGTAGTATGGGCTTGAGCATAGCAACCAATTAGTTGGCACAAAAAGGAACGACCATGTATCACATAATGCAATTATAATAAGAAAATCTGAGAGGCAAATCCGAACTTAGTGGATAAAATACCTATTACCATCTCAAAGGTTGATAGATAGATAGAGAGAGAGAGAGAGAGAGAGAGAGAGAGAGAGAGAGAGAGTTTCCTGAATTCTATTGTACAAATATTTTGACTACCTTGACATCCAAAAGGCCGTATATGAAGTTAATAAGAACTTCATCTTCAAACCCAAGGAGCTCAGTCACCCTCGTAGCAATCCACGGCTTGATAACATCCATCTTCACCTTTGTCATATCCACCTAAGAAACATCACTCGTGCTTAAGATTTACTGATTAACCCTTATAATAATTATAGACATTCATAACAGCACGGTTGAACACTTGGCTCAATAGCAATTACCAAATCGTAAACAAACATCTGTGACAATTGAACGAACACCATATAACAGTAATTTGGAGGGGAAAAAAAAACAAACCAACTGTTCTAGTTCAACCGGGAACTTCTGTGTCTTCAGCAGCTTTGCTTGCTTGTTCGAAAAACGAGTGTCTTGGTCCGCAGACGTACCCTAGTCAATGATAATGAAACAAAGAGAAAAACCTATTAAAACCTCAAGAAAATACTGGAGGTATGAATGCAAGGAGATGAACACCATAAACATACGGGACAAATCCACACTTAAAAGATAAATCAATTCTGAAAATTTGTTCTGATCTAACAAGAAAAACAACAAATTCTTCTAGCTAAAACACACAAAAATATTTATAAACAAAAAACAAGATGGGAAGTCCTCTGGCTTAAGAAGAACTTGTTCAATCAAAACCTAAAGCCTCGATATTTTCCAACCAACAAAAAGTGACGAACAGAACTAAATCCCAAACAATCGCCGAACCAAATGTTAAAGCTTAGCTTCAGAAACACGCCGATTGGTTTCGAGATAAATAAATAAGCTGAAAACTGAGTTGTGAGTTCGTTTACATCATTACCCGGAAAAAGCCGCCCGACATTTTCTAGGGCTTGTGGTGGGAACCAAGGTGGGTTTGATGAGACGGTGAGCGAGTGAGTGGAGAAGGAATTAGGGTTAGTTGGAGTACATCTGCAAGTGATGCTTGGTAGCGATGGGTTGGTGAGAAGCTGTGGGAGAAATGAAGCTCCGAACACTCCCCGACAGTGGCAGCAGCTAAGGCGAGAGCGTGGGAACGACTCAGAGACCAGACGAATTGGACTGAACACGCCCTCGATTAAGCTGCAAAGACGATTCCAATGACGGATTGAGCCATCAGAAATTCGTACTCTTTTATCCTCCTCCTCATTCAACCTCGTTGAATTAGGGCTAAATTATTTGTAAATAAATATCCACCTGCTGTTCTGTACAATTCATTGGTTAAATTACAATGTGTTTTAACTCCAAAATAAATAAATAAATAAATAAATAAATTTAATTCTTCTCATTATTAATTTTCAATTTTTTTAAAATTTAAAAACTTACTCTACACGGTTTATATTAATCAACTCCTATAATTAATTAATGAAATTTAATTTCAAAAATTAAAATATCGAATTAAAAAAAAAACTTTTATTGAGTCATATTCATCATCTCTCCACTACTTCTAAGTTTCTCAGTAATTTCTCATTTCTTACATTTTTACTGTCGTTTCTCGAATATCCGCTTAATTCCTCTTTGGAGTGTAGTCTTGGGTCCCTTTCTCAACTATTTTGGATCGTTTCAGACTGATTTTGACATTTTAGGAGCATTTTAGGCTAATGTGACCACTGCTTAATTAATTTAAGTTATTTTCAAACGAAAAGTATAATTAGTTAGCATCGTCACATGAATTGAATCATGTATTATCTCTTAACTTCATATCGTGGGTCATAGGTTGTATGCTGAAAAATACTACATATCTAAATTTTGCTCGGACTAGACTGGAAAGTAGAGTTTAAGGCCATGAAATGTTTTACTAAATGTCAAACTATGATTGTGTTTTATATGCATTTTTCAACCCCAATAGTAAAGGTACTCATTGAGTATTTCTAAACTACTCAAACCACGTGTCACTCTTATTTTTTCAAGTAAATGTAAGACACCCTTGTACAATGACGACATCACAGTCACAATCATGGAACCGAAGCTAGGACAAATCCATTCATGTTATTTTTATAACCCTTAGGTTAAATCACAACAAATACTTTATTACATTCGTTTATTTAAATTCGTGTTATTTATTTTCCACCACATTATTTTAACACGTGTAACTTCATTCCTCCGTTACCAAATATTATAATTTTTTTTTGTTTGCAATTTATAAATATAAAAGGTTTAAATTATTTTCAAAACACTTTTTTAAATTGAAAAATGTATTTTTATTAATTTATACATGGCAAGTCAAAGTAAAATAAATACGAACGAAAGGAGGCCACAAGATTGTCAACACATGATAGATAACATACAATAGATTGCAGCAGCATGACAATGCCCAAATTCATCACTCTCTCTGCGATCGTTCCACCATGGCCATGGATTGCTGTGCGCCAATTCGACCTCTCTTCACCCATAAGCTTTCTCTTTCAAAAACATGTAAACCCCAAGTGATTGGTTCAAGCGTTGTCTTCTCCTCTACTCGCACTACCCCACTGCTAGTTTCATCATTCAGTGGCAAATTAGAGCCTCTGTTCCATAAACCAATCTCTTCCTCCGGTTGCAAACTTCGGCTCATCGCCAAGGTCCATCAGTTTCGGGATTCCATTTTAATTTGGTTCGCTAATTGGGGTTTTTTGCTTTAATTCTTATATGCTTTGTAGGTTGGTGATCGGGCTGATTATTCGACTGGGAAGGAAGAAACCAATTCGCTTGATTCTGAAGTAGACAGTGAAGAAGAGTTTTCTTGGTCTTCTGTCATTTTGCCGTACGTTTCCATTACTTTTGTGCTCATTGCTGATTTCTTGTACTATTTGTTGAGTAAAATTCTGGGTTTGTAGGGGTAGCTCTTTATTGAATTAAGAATTGTCTCAATTCGTCAGGTTCTGGTGTTAGCTAGTTTGCATTTTCATACTTTTGGGTTTTTTGAATTGGCGAGTTGCTGTTGAGGATTGTTGGGGGTAGTCCTACTTTGGCTAATTTAGGAAATGATCATGGGTTTATAAGTAAGGAATACATCTCTATTGGTATGAGGTCTTTTTGGGGAAGTCCAAAGCAAAGCCACGAGAGCTTATGATCAAAGTGGACAATATCATATTATTGTGGTGGGTCCGTGATTCCTAAAATGGTATCATAGTCATGCGCTTAACTTAGCTATGTTAATAGAATCCTCAAATGTCGAATATAGAAGTTGTGAGCCTCGAAGGTGTATTCAAATGTAACTCAAGTGTCAAACAAAGGGTGTACTTTGTTCGAGGACTCCAAAGAAGGAGTCGAACCTTGATTAAGGGGAGACGGTTCAAGTGCTTCATATGCCTCAGGGGAGGCTTTATAGTGTACTTTGTTCGAGGAGAGGATTGTTGGGAGGGAGTCCCACATTGGCTAATTTAGGGAGTGATGATGAGTTTATAAGTAAGAAATACATCTCCATTAGTACGAGGCCTTTTGGGGAAGCCCAAAGTAAAGTCATGAGAGCTTATTCTCAAAGTGGACAATATCATACCATTGTGGAGGGTCCGTGATTCCTAACAGTTGCCTCGTTGAATTTCTGTATTATTAGGTTTGTGTTCCCTGCCATAGGAGGCTTGTTGTTTGGATATGACATTGGTGCCACCTCTGGAGCTACCCTTTCATTGCAGGTTGATCTACATTTTTCTGATATAATCTGATTTCCCCCAAAAAAAAGTCTTCTCTAGCTGAGAAGTCACCATTTACTGTTGATGAGTTTTTGTGTTTTTTACTTGAAAATGTCAGTCTCCTGAGCTTAGTGGCACCAGTTGGTTTAACATCTCTGCCGTTCAACTTGGTCTGGTGGTGAGTTTCTTATATAGGACTTACAATTGCATACTGTGATGCAAATATCTCTCAAACTTTCCCGTCTTATATTCTCTTGAATTAAGGTTAGTGGCTCTTTGTATGGAGCTCTTCTTGGTTCCCTCCTTGTGTACCCGATTGCAGATTTTCTCGGTACGTGCTTGGTGTGTTCAATTTAAACTCAAGCTCGAAGCTTCTTATGAACTTTACTTGACTGTTTTTCTTTATCTCGGTTGTCAAGGACGGAGGAGGGAGCTAATTATAGCAGCTGTACTATATGCACTTGGTAGCCTGACCACTGCTTATTGCCCTGATCTGGGCATTCTTCTGGCGGGAAGGCTTCTCTATGGCCTTGGCATTGGTCTGGTAATGTTATTGCTTTACTCCCCATATAAGTCCTGTAAATTGCAAGAGTACTCTGACATTATAAACTAGCGTTGGTACATTTTCACTTTAACAGGCCATGCATGGGGCTCCTCTTTATATAGCTGAAACATGTCCATCTCGGATTCGTGGAACCTTAATATCTTTAAAGGAGCTGTTTATAGTACTAGGAATCTTGGTACTGCTCATAAACCTTTCCATGTTGTTTAAGTTACTTCCGTTTCGAGAATTCATTTCGATTATGAGCTAATTTTCCAATCCATTGCTATTCTTCAGTTGGGGTATTTAGTTGGAAGCCTTCAGATTAATACAATCGGAGGATGGCGATACATGTATGGATTTAGTGCACCGGTTGCTTTATTGATGGGATTAGGAATGTCGATTCTCCCTCCATCGCCTCGTTGGTTACTTCTCAGGGCCGTTCAAGGTAAAGCGCCTTCAGAGGATTCTAAAGAACAAGCTATTGTAGCCTTGAGTAAACTCAGAGGACGACCTCCTGGTGATAAACTATCTGAGAAACAAATAGAAGAAACATTTCTCTCCTTGAAATCTGCCTATTCAGAGCAGGAATCTGAAGGGAGTATTTGGGAGGTCTTTCAAGGCCCGAGTTTGAAAGCCTTCATAATCGGTGGCGGTTTGGTTCTCTTTCAGCAGGTTTTTTGTCATCTCTAAAATTTGATTTTGAGAATAACATTTTAGCATAAAGTGCAAATAACTCAAGAACTCCAGAAACTATATCATCTATGATGTGACAGATAACTGGACAGCCGAGCGTTCTATATTACGCCGGTCCCATTCTTCAGGTTTTGACATTCCCTTTGTTACATTATAACCCAGAAGGCAGTTTTTCTTCTCTTTGATAAATCATAATATCTGTACACCATTCTGATTCAAGAATGCAGGATTTGCTGCTGCCTCTGATGCTACTAGAGTCTCAGTTGTTATTGGGGTATTTAAGGTGCATGAGATAATTTTAAAAGATATGCAATCTAATCTGGAAGAGATTGTTTCTGTCGTCCTATAATAACCGTTTGTGGCGTTCTTATCATTTTCTTTCGATCGCTCTTCATTCAGTTGCTTATGACATGGGTAGCTGTTCTAAAAGTTGATGATCTTGGAAGAAGGCCCTTGCTCATTGGAGGTGTTAGTGGCATTGTAAGCACTATAACCATATCCATAACTTGCCGGCACCTCCAATAACCTTGTAATCTTTGAGGAATTGTTTGCTGGGGGGTTCTAATTCTGCCATCTTTATTACTGCAGGCGGTTTCCTTGCTTCTTCTTTCAGCCTACTACAAATTTCTTGATGGGTTCCCCATTGTTGCTGTTGGTGCCCTGCTTTTGTATGTTGGTTGTTACCAGGTATACTTTTCTCTTTGCTTCTTTAGCCTTGAGGCCTTTGTTGATCGGTCTCTCTTGTTAAGGATATTTAATCGTGAATTTACCGTATATATCATATTTGATCTTTTATTATAGGCAAATATCTAGATATTTGCCTTCCATTACGGTTTACTATAGGTATCTTTCATCTATTGCTCTTTCCGTTTATTACTCTTTCCATATCCTTGTAATTTATTTGATCATAAATAGGGAACTTTCACCTCATTTAGCTGTGGTGGTTTTAGCAAATATTCTCATGGTATCAGAGCCCTCTCGGTTTAGCAACTCCGATTCTTTATTTTCAATGGCTTCTGAATCCTCTACTCATTTTCTTCTCCACCACCACTGCTGGCTTTGATGACATATGGGCAGTCTCCTTGGCTGCGGCAGGAGGAGCCGATTGATTACTCTTCGGCTCCACCCTTTTGACCTCCAAATCATCCTTCGCAGGCCCACCCTTTGCCATACTCTGTACATACAACCTCACCTTCTCCAACCGGTTTAGCAACTCCGATCCTTTATTTTCAATGGCTTCTGAATCATTTACTCATTTTCTTCTCCACCACCACTGGCGGCTTTGATGACATATGGGCAGTCTCCTTGGCTGCGGCAGGAGGAGCCGATTGATTACTCTTCGGCTCCACCCTCTTGACCTCCAAATCATCCTTCGCAGGCCCACCCTTTGCCATACTCTGTACATACAACCTCACCTTCTCCAACTGGTTTACCCTTAGCCAACATAGCCTCTTTCGTTTTCTTCCCAATCGGCCCTTCATCCTTTGTTGATCAGTCTCTCTCCCACAGAAGTACACTTTTATATAATAATCACTCTTCTGAATTATAAACAAACTCAAAATGAAACTGGAACTCTTGCAATCCTTTGCTTTACTGGTTCTTTTTGTCAGCAAAGGATGTGTAAAACTTGCTGAAATGCCATTGCAGATATCCTTTGGACCAATTAGTTGGCTTATGGTGTCCGAAATATTTCCACTTCGAACTAGAGGGAAAGGAATCAGTCTTGCAGTTCTTACGAATTTTGGTTCGAATGCCATCGTCACATTTGCATTTTCACCCCTGAAGGTTGTTATTCCATTGAATGCTTGGTTTTTTACTGGTCTCCACCATTTCTGGAGCCATTGACATCAAATGCTTAAATTGCTGTTTTGTAGGAATTGCTTGGAGCGGATAACCTTTTCCTTCTTTTCGGTGCTATTGCATTGCTTTCACTTCTTTTTGTAACTCTTCAAGTTCCCGAGACCAAAGGTCTAAGTTTGGAAGAAATCGAATCCAAAATCTTGAAGTGATAAACACGTAATGATCAAATTCGCTTTCGTGTGATTTCAATAATAAACGTACGTTTGCATCGGTTGATTTGCCTAACATTTGCAGAACTACTGCAGCATATTTCTCACTTGGAGATGCTGACACGACGGGTCGGTGCTGCCATTGAAGAGAGTTTGTCGATCTATTCAATATGCAAATAAATAATGTGGCTTAGGAACAACTATGTCGAATCGAATAGTTGATACTCATGGTTTTCTTCCTTCTTGAAATGTGCAAATCTAAATGTTCTTATCAGTATGATTGATATCTACAGCTTTGTTTTGTGTATTATTATATTGTTCGTGTTTCAGGAACCGTACCAATGACTCAGAACTAGAACTAAATTCAGGAACTGCATATTGAACGTTCGAGAATTTGACTGGGAACTATGAAGACATAAGAAACAAACATTTGTTATTAAGGGTTCAAAGTAAACCCATCAGAGTACAAAATTGTGAACATAAGAGGAAAACTAAGATTAGAACACAAGCAGCCCTTGCATTCTTCACATCAATCTGCAATAACAATACTGCAGAAATATTTTATTGGTACAATACAACTTAGTTGTAAATTGCTTATTGTTTGTTGTTTGCGTGTGTGTGTCTATGAACTTCATCATTGAATATGTCTGTTAATTGGCTTGGAGTATTCTTTCTAGGTCTTCTTCCTCAGCCACTGCATCAGAAAGAGATATTGCTTTATTCTGTTATATTATCTGTAGCGACCTAAGCCCACCGCTAGCAGATATTGTCCTTTTTAGGTTTTCCCTTTCGAGCTTCTCCTCAAGATTTTTAAAACGCGTCTGCTAGGGAGAGGTTTCCACACCCTTATAAAGGGTGTTTCGTCTCCTCCCCAACCGATGTGGGATCTCATATTATCGGTAAAAGTAGAAATTTGAAGTTGTAGTAACTCACCTATGTGGGTAGTGGTAAAGATAGGAGCGCTAGATGAATGTTTTGAACCTAAATGTGTAATCATTGGTTGTGGTGTTGCCTCTGGTAATGAAGGTTTTGCAGCCAAGCGTGTAGCCAGGAGTGCCTGTGGTGATTCCTTGGCCTGTGATGAAGGTTTTGAAGGCAAATGTAGTGCTAGTATTGCTTGAGGTGCCTCCTTAGCCGGTAATGAAGATTTTGCCACAAAACGTGCAACCACGGGCTCTGGTGTCTTCTTGGTTCGTAACGATTGTTTTGCAGCTGCTGGTTGTGGTGTTGTTTCAGCCCGCAATGAAGATGTTGCAGCCACTGGCTTTGGTGAGTTCTCAGCCAATGGTAAAGATTTTGCAGGCAATTGTGAAGCCACTGGTTGTGGTGCCGTTTCAATCTGTGGCAAAGATTTTGCAGCCAAATGTGTAGCCACTGGCTGTGGTTCCTCATCAGCCTGTAACATGGAACTTACTGCCTCCCTCATCTTCTCCACAACACCTACATCTCCAGGCATTTTCCCCGGACTCAGCGCATCGAACAACACCTCAGAAAGTGCTCTCTCGTCTTCACCTGGCTCAAACTTCTGCATCAGGTACTCCTTTACTGAATCTCCTTTGTCCCATATCTGCTCAGTTCCTTTACCAAGTCTTGATGCTTGCGGATCCATTGGGGAAGAGCTCCTCTTCTGCGTTGCTGGGGAAAAAGCGTCTTGTGGAGTAGCCGGTGAAGAATTGGCCATTGGGTTCGATGGAGCGGAGAACGTGAGGCTTTGGATCTTTGAAGCAAGAGCATGAGTAGCATCAGTAACAGTGGAATAAACAGGTGCCAACTTCTCAGTTACAGCTTCTGTCAATGTCTTGCTTGGACTTGAAGGTTTAGCAGCCTCCATTTCTTGTATTCTCTTAATGGTAGTATTTGCAGCTGCAGTTTCGGTTCCTGTTTTGATATTCCCAAGAGACGACTCGACGATCATTTCAGACGACATTTCCGACGAGCTGAAAGGTTTTTCATCTTGTCCTGATGCAAGATTTATGTTGTTTGCTAACACATGATTCTCAGCAATCACAGGATTGGCTCGTGGATGCTGCCTGGCATTCTCTTTGCAGCCCTCTGGTGCTAGCTCTGATTCATACACTGCAAATGAAACAAGTTCATATTTTAGTATAGGATTTGAAATATATGAACAGAAACAACCTTACTTGGGGCTCCTAAATATTCAGCATCAACATGGTCCTCCTCTTCCTCTTCATTTTCATCCAAATTATACCCCCACGACGGTGTAGCATTCTCGTCTTCGCCGTGCTTCTTCTTGTGGCTTAGAGTGTATCTGAGTTTCTTTGCTTTTTCTTTCACTTTGGCAAAAACTGATTTCTTTTGATGGTGATCCATATCCTCTTCAGGGTCACGGTCCTTTCCTGCCACGGGTGGCGAATGTGCAGGCGACCATTTGGAAGAATCCCCCTCTGCGTATGGAAAGGCCTAAACTCGGTTAGTTTTCAATGGATTTGTTTAATAAACGAAAGGCACTTCTCAGCCTGTTTGTGTGGTTTGCTTTGTTCGAGACTTAGTTTTATAAAGAATAAGTCGTTTGTTTGATTTAACACAAATTACAAAGGAACAAGAAACGTGAAACGAGAAACGAGAATTTACCTATACCTCGAAGTTGTCCCGTGGATGGGTTGGCATTGGCACTATATGCATGCATTATGACGACGGTGTTAGCTCTCGATTTGTTTCGGTTTTGGTTAATTGTGTGTGAAAGAGAGGTGCATTTGAAGGGAAGGGGTTAAACAAGAGCCACAAGAAGCTGAATCAATGGTATACTAAATATATTTGTGGGCAAAGTTTGTTGAAGAGGGAAGATCCAACAGAGTTTTCATTAAGGCCTTTCTTTCTCCTTTACATAAGCCTACTTCTTAGCAATTGACCAACACACACAAATCAACTTTCATGTCCTCCAAATCTCCTCTCTCTCTCACACTCACTCACTCACTCACGATTTATGTTCGTAAGATTTACATAACTTCATATATGTTACGTTCCTATCGTAAAAGGTCACAATCAGAAAATGATATTATTTGGTTGCTATACATTGCTAACCTTCGAAAAGGGAATAATTGAAAATCTCGAGTAACAGGCCAAGCTGCTAAAGTGATGACAAACCCCATCAGTAAAATGAGTCATTTGGAAAGTACGTCGATTCCCAATCTCTAGTAAAACCCAAAAGAGGGATCCATTTATAATCTTCCGTCTAAGTTGTTAGGAGTTCGAACTCGAATATACAAATACATAAATACACATTGTCTAAGTTGAAATATTTATTATTTGTACTTGAAATTTTGTTGCTATATTTATATATATATATATCAATAAATTTTATTTTATTTTAGTAAATATTGATAATGAAAATGGTAATATAAATTTAAAATATTTGAAAAATAAAATAAAATTAGAAAATTAAGGGGTAGAAAAGTCCATTAATTATTTTTTTTTTTGTAAAGTTTCTTTAAATAAGAAAAACAAGGGACATTGTAAAACTCGCCCTCAGGAAAAAAGACTCGCGCTTTTCGAAAAACCTCGAGATATAGAGAAGAGAAGCAAGCGAAGTAAGGAATTCAGCGGAGAGCAAAACCCCCCATTTCTTCCCTCTTCCTTATCCCTTTCTCCTTGCCCTGCAAACCCAAAATGCCAGCTCTCGCGGCGCATACCCATCTCCCCACTTCCACAAATTTCCCCAACTCGCCGGCTTCCCACCGTAGCCGCCGGATTCCGCCTTCAATCGCTGCCTCTAACAACCCCCATCTTCCCACCTTCAAATGTCATTTATCTTCTTCATCTTCCCAAACCCCACAACCCATTCAATCCTCGACTTCCTGCAAACCCCTCCTGAAATCCATCGCTAAAGCCCTTGCTCTGTCCTCCTCTGTTACCCTTGTTTTTAATTTCTCTTCGTTGCTTGGAAATGGGGGTGGAAACTTCGGTGGGGGCAGCGGATTTGGTGGTGGGAGTGGTGGAGGCGGTGGTGGGAGTGATGGGTTTTGGAGGAGATTCTTATCCCCTGCTGCATTGGCGGATGAGCCTCAGAATCAGGAGTGGGATGCTCATGGTTTGCCTGCCAATCTTGTTGTGCAGCTTAGTAAGCTTAGTGGGTTTAAGAAATACAAGGTCTCTGATATTTCGTTCTTTGATCGCCGGAAGGGAATCACCGTTGGCACTGAAGACTCGTTCTTTGAGATGGTTTCATTGAGACCTGGCGGGATATACACCAAGGCTCAGCTTCAGAAAGAGCTCGAAACCCTTGCGACTTGTGGGATGTTTGAGAAGGTCGATGTGGAAGGGAAAACTAAACCTGATGGTACTCTTGGTGTCACAATCTCGTTCTCTGAAAGTACTTGGCAGTCAGCTGATAGGTTCAGATGTATCAATGTTGGTTTGATGCAACAGACGAAGCAGAGGGAAATGGACCCTGATATGACGGATAAGGAGAAGCTTGCCTATTTTAGGAGCCAAGAGAGGGAATACAAGAGGAGAATTTCGAAGGCGAGGGCGTGTTTGTTGCCAACGCCAGTGTATAGAGAGGTTCTTCAGATGATAAGGACTAGGGGGAAGGTCAGTGCGAGGCTTTTACAGAGGATTCGGGATAGGGTGCAGAAATGGTACCATGATGAAGGGTATGCTTGCGCACAGGTAGTAAATTTTGGAAACTTGAATACCAAGGAGGTTGTTTGTGAGGTGGTGGAAGGGGATATTACTCAGCTGGTGATTCAGTTCCTGGATAAGCTTGGTAATGTTGTTGAGGGAAATACTCAACTCCCTGTAGTGAAGAGGGAATTGCCCAAACAGGTAGAATCCTTTGAAGGTTAACTTACAAATTTGATGCCAAAATTTGTTGATTGTGCCTGTTTAGTTCTTAATTCTTAAACTTTACGAAGTTCCCTTTATGTTTTTAATCTTAATTACGATGATACGCACTGTTCTCGTACATGCTAATAGATGAAGGTTGATTGTTTTGACATAACATAGTGTGGCATGTATCAAATCCAATTTAGGCTGTTCACTTTGAGTTGATATTTATCCAATAATCATGTCACATCATAGTGTTAATGGGAGGGACAACATAGAGTCACGATCCAAAATTTTGAAATGTAAGCGAATGTTTTCTAAGTCTAGAGATTAAATAGACACGACCATGCTCCAAACTACATTTATTATATAACCACGACTGTATATTTGGTGTTTTATCTTACCGAGAGAAGCAGCTATCGACTTCTCGGTGTTTCAAAATTAAATTTCATACTATGGCCACAAATTTCATTATATCAGCTTTGTATAGTGAGTAGCAGTTCTTATGTGCTCAAGATTTTGAATTATGTCACAGCTACAAGCAGGCGAAATTTTTAATATCGAAGCAGGAAAGCAAGCTCTGAGGAACATCAACTCCCTTGGTTTGTTTTCAAATATTGAAGTGAATCCACGACCTGACGAGAAGAGTGAAGGAGGGATTATAGTTGAAATTAAACTTAAAGAACTTGACCAAAAGTCTGCTGAAGTCAGTTCGGAATGGAGCATTGTTCCTGGACGTGGAGGACGTCCAACTTTGGTATGTTATTTATCTTCGCTTTGTTATGCTTATGCCTACTTTCACCACCATTGAATTATGGTTGAACATATTTCTATTTTATTTATTTATTTATTATTATTATTTTTTTTTTTTTTTGTGGGCTTTGTGCTTTTAGGCTTCACTGCAGCCTGGTGGAACAGTTACTTTTGAACATCGAAATATCAATGGATTAAATCGATCAATTCTTGGTACTATAACAACGAGTAATTTTTTCAATCCTCAGGTAGTCCAATTAATATTATTGTTTAGTTCTTCTTTTTCACTGCTTAAAGGCTATTAAATGATGAAATCTCCACGTTTTTCTTTGTTCAGGATGACCTTTCATTTAAGCTCGAGTATGTGCACCCATATTGGGATGGTGTCTATAACCCACGCAATCGAACTCTTCGAGTTAGTTGCTTCAATAGCCGAAAACTGAGTCCTGTTTTCACTGGTGGACCTGGAGCAGATGAAGTTCCACCTATATGGGTCGACCGAGCTGGTGTTAAAGCTAATGTTACCGAGGTGTTTATCAGTGACTGTTTAGTGTTTTCTAGATTTACTCCTTCAGTAGCATATTTTGGAAACAATGTTTTCTTATATTGCTGGCATTTGTTGAATAGAATCTTACCCGCCAAAGCAAATTCACTTATGGGCTTGTAATGGAAGAGATAACGACACGGGATGAAAGTAGTAATATCTGTTCAAATGGTCAAAGGGCATTGCTTGGTGGAGGTATTAGTGCTGATGGACCTCCCACAACCCTGAGTGGAACTGGTATCGATCGAATGGCATTCTTACAAGCAAATATAACACGGGATAATACAAAATTCATTAATGGTGCTATCGTTGGCGAGAGGAACGTATTTCAGGTGCGAATCTGTCTTAATATTTGCATCTCGACCTGTTAGTACCCTTTCATTGTTTCATTGAAGCATCTTTTTGCCTCTTTTTCATACAAGAACACAGATTTAGAAGCAATTAAGTCACCATTTTATAGATTAATATGTTCAATTTTGAGGGATTTACTCGACAAATTTAGAACTATGTTCTGTTGGGTGCTCACGGCTCTGGGGTCTTTTTGAATCAAACTATGCTGGCTGAGAAAATATTTTGACTTCTGAAAGTTCTGGCTGATTATTGACTATCACATGTGTGTATTACAGGTCGACCAAGGCCTCGGGGTGGGCAGCAAATTTCCGTTCTTCAACCGCCACCAGCTTACCTTGACACGGTTTTTGCAGCTGAAGCAGGTGGAGGAAGGTGCAGGTAAATCACCTCCTCCTGTGCTTGTCCTCCATGGTCATTATGGTGGCTGTGTAGGGGACCTTCCAAGCTACGATGCCTTTACCCTTGGAGGGCCTTATTCTGTGAGGGGTTACAATATGGGTGAGCTGGGCGCAGCGAGAAACATCCTCGAGGTAAATCTTAAACATCCTCAAAAATGATAGACGACCCTTATCACGAATTTGGAGCAGCATTCTGATTTCTATCCGGTTGATCTTCTTTAGCTTGCAGCCGAGCTGCGAATCCCTGTTAAAGGGACCCATGTATATGCATTTGCTGAACATGGAACTGATCTCGGAAGTTCAAAGAACGTTAAGGGAAACCCAACTGAAGTATATAGGCGAATGGGGCACGGTTCGTCATATGGTGCAGGGGTGAAGCTAGGCCTAGTCCGGGTCGAGTATGCGGTCGACAATAACTCAAGCACAGGTGCATTGTTTTTCCGTTTCGGAGAGAGGTTTTGAGATAGTTTAAATTGGTATTCCATTTTTGGATAGTTAGCCGGCTCTGTAGGTTGTGGGAGAAGAATGTTGGAGCTTTATTATGAAGATGATATGCAGTATCAAGTTAAGAGTGATTTATTGCCTTGGAACTTTTTCTTTTTCTTTTGTTTCTTTTTTACCTCTCTGATTCTGGTAAATTTGTTCTAGAGGTGCGACAAAATCATCTATGCTACTTTAATTTTATGCTCTGCATGAACAATCATTGAATAATTTACTGATTCCAGAAATTGGAACGTTGCTAAGTAATCTCTCTCTCTCTCCCTCTCTCTCTCTCTATATATATATCACTTTATGATGAACAAGAATGAACCAGACTATAGTTTAGGATAGGTAACTTTACAAGATAACAGTCTTACTTGTAATGATAGGATACACATGGATACAGGGTTATTATATGATATGATCTATAGAATCTCATCCTACATGTTCATTTTGTGTATATATATATGTAATCGTCTACAAGGTTGTGCCCCACATGCTATGACACACATGACAGGGTCGTTCACTACATCTATATGATACAATCTACAAGATCATGATACCATGATCTATCAGTATAAGTAATGTATTACAATGTCGCTCTCCGCTTAATTAGAGTAACAAGTATAAGATAAAGATTTCAAAAGATTCAGCAACATCTCAAGGCACCTTACTTAGGCCTGGGAAACTAGGGAAAAACAATGTCCATAAATTAAACAGATTCAGTTAACTGCTAAGCATGATTACAAACTGAGATTACAGAAGGAAGATCCATCCCTGGATTATTCAAAGGGGCAACATATAGGAGGGATTCATCTTTGTAAACCAAGATAGACCCCGTATAGAGCTGCTTCCCTCAAGAGTAGTTCAAAGTTAAACCATATGTAAACCAGTTCCAACTATAACATTAAGCAACTAAATTGACTAAAATGTAACTGTCCAAACCCAACACTTTAACCTGTTACAAATCATGTCAGCCTCATGATTTTATCTTCTACTAGGGGATCTCACATAAATGCCAAGTTTTCTTTGCACATGAACAGTTTAGGCATGTGTTTATCAAACAAAAGATCAAAATGACATGGGTATGTGGGTATGTATGTATATGGGGCCGTTTCTTCTCTATTAATGGTAACATTTGCTATTGCAACAGGACCTGTTGAGATGCTGAATACAAGTTCTGAAGAAGAAATGAAGCAATGATTTTAAGTGGCTGTGAACTTATAAAATCCAGTATCACAGCAGTCATTATTAGTCTAGAAACCGAGAGGCCTCGCTGGAGTATATCCAATAGGGCAGACACAAGAAAGAACCAAAAAATGGGGTTCAGATATCAAATCTGTTGTGATTCAAGTTCATGAGTTACAGCACAAACTAGAATGGAGATACATTTTAAATATCTCAAGGGCATCCAATTGTTGAGTTCCTGGTAGACAACATAATAATATAACTGATACGAATGTTCGTATACACGTGTATCGGCATCTGGGCACCCAGTGTTTATTTCACGGACCTTATGGAAAGCATTCCTTCCAGAGTGATATCTGCAAGTGACATACTAATCATATCAATAAATAGAAATGGTAGGACCAATTCAACAAAAGAGAACAGCTTCAGTGCATATGAAAATGAAGGCAAAGACAGTTACCAAGCTATATTAAAGAAAACAATAAGGCAGTCATCAAAGGAATATTAACCTTTCATGACATCCTAAGAAGGAGAGAATCACAAAACACACATCGATTCCACTGACGAAGGATCATTTGGTGTGCCCTTCAATACTTCTATAATTCACCAGAGGTGATGGGCAAGAATTTCAATGTGATGGGGATTAGGCCATCTCTTGCCTCCCGTAACTACAGTCTCATGCATCTTACATTATACCTGAATGATGTTTGTAGCTTCTTTTCAGTTCGTAATTTGTAATAGAACTTCCAAGGTTAAAAAAAAGTTGTACAAATAACATGTATAGTGATCTGATGCAGCTGTCCTAAAAGCACAGAGGATTATGGAAGGGAAAGTTCTAGAGTAAGGTCAAGCATATTCAAATTTCTTCTACTTCCATACTAAAAACAACCAAGTTTGGTAAACACTACAATGTGCTTGCAGTTCGTTTAGCTTAATCTTGAACTTTCATTCAAAGACTGATTTGGCCTAAAATGTTCAACATACAATGTTCTACTGGATCCGTACACTAAAAAAGGCGATATATGAATATGCATAGGACATGACATAACATAACAGTTCAAATATCCATGGAGCCATTACATGAGAAGAAAGGAAGATTAAACAATAAATTTATATACAAATTTCAGCCAGGAAGCATAAAAGTTCTCCAAGAGGCTGATGGTCATTGTAGCAGAACAGTTGATTGAACAACTTGAAGGTGGACGTCTAAACAAAAAACACATAATAATTGCTTAGATTTTCCTCTATGGTCAAGTAAATCTTCATCTTACGGGTTTATGGACTCTCTTACCTGCATGCTCGTCCTGGATTGGTGACTACACAGTAAAGACCAAAGCAAGCAAATCTAACTAACTGTATTTTTAAGAGGTGATCAAACTGAGCAGTGAAGCATACAGAGGAATCAGAAACTGAAAGGTAACAGTTATTACGCTGTGATTCAAGCCAAAAAAGTAGGGGGTTACCCATTTGGCTTTGTTAGAAAAAAATTTCAGTGCAGACATTCCTGGGGAACTGTTTTTAGAAGTTGTTTTTGTTGTGTTTTTTTTTTTTTCAGTTTAGTTCCACAGCAACAGATATCTCCAGTTTCTTACAAGTCATCTAACTACAGTTATCGAGAACAGTTCGAAAGACCAAATCAGAAACCTGTGTCTAAAGTTCGCCACTAAAGCCAATAACATGCCATAAATTCTTGTCTTACTAATTACACTTGGACAAAAAGAAAGCTTTTCAGTTTCCAGTAACTCAATAATACTGCTTTACGAGGCTTAATTTTATCTGGGATTCACCATTTCACGTGTCTAATATAGAAGTTTGTTGCCAAGTTCGAGAAGTACTCCAAATCCTAACGCAAAACCCCTCCAAATCCAGACCATTCATTGGCAATGCAAGTACCACTGGCATAAACCAATTTTAGATTAAAAAAAAAAAAAAAAGAAGGGAAAAACGGCAAACATAATTGGAATAATTACGGTTAGAACACAACACTCCACAATGGTATGATATTGTCCACTTGGAGCATAAACTCTCATGCCTTTGCTTTGGTTTCCCCAAAAGACCTCATACCAATGGAGATAGTATTTATAGATTATAAACTCATGATCATTCCCTAAATTAGCCGATGTGGGACTTTCATCCACACTCCTCCCCTTAATCGAGGCTCAACTCCTTTTCTTTTTGGAGTCTTAGTCATTTTTTACTATGCCTGACGCTCACAATACTTTTGTTTGACATTTGAGGATTCTATTGACATAGCTAAGTTTAGGACATGACTCTGATACCTTGTTAGATGAATGCCACAATGGTATGATATTGTCCACTTTGAGCATAAGCTCTCGTGACTTTACTTTGGACTTCCCAAAAGGCCTCATATCAATGATAAATCTTATTAAACCGATAGTAAATCATTTTCTAATACAAAAGATGTTCTCTATCGCTCCAGTAAAATCTAATCTAACACTCATTAATAAGGTATACGAAAAACTCAATGAGATCAAGCAGCCAACCTGAAAATTAGCGGAATTCACTTATCATTAGTACTAGGAGGCACATGAGGATGAGGGTAAGGCACGATCGAGCCGTATTTGTTGCCCGACCAATCTCTCTGATGCATCATATGGTAAGGATGGGTTTCAAACCCATGGTATCCCTGTGCGCTTCCCGGATGAGCGACAGGCATACCCATATAACTGTGAGCATGACCAGGTGCTGCCATGCCAAGCACCGGCATAGGCATCATCGGCGGTCCGTACGGTATCGGAGTAGGAACTGGCAAATGCCCATTTCCATTCCCATGCCCACTGTTGGAAGACTCGTGCAAGCTCTGCGGCACAGGCGTGGAAGCGAAAATCCGGTCCGGCGACGACGGGCCCTCGTTGGAAGATCCCTGCATCCTCTTCAAGTAAAGCCTATATTTCTGAAGATGACTCGCAACATTCTCGCGAGTCAATCCCTCCACGTTCATCAACTGCATAATAGTTTTAGGAACCGCGTTCTTAATCCCAAGATGAGCAACCACATCCACAAACCGCTTATGTAATTGCGGCGTCCAAACAAGCCTCGGTCTCTTCAACGTCCGAGCCGATGGATCATCCATCGAATTATCAGTCCGAAGAGCCGAATCAGCCTCCTCCGCACAATCAACCTTCCTCAATTTCCTAGAATCCGACCCCGCATCTCTCTCTGTCATCTCATCTCCTTCAAAAACCATCGGATCATGATCCCGAGTCCGATCATCATTGAATGACTTGAAATTATTCGATGAAAACGCTTGCGATTGAAATCCACGAAGATTCGAAAGAGTATTCTGCGATGCTCGATAAAGATCCATCACCGTCCTAGACGGCCCTGTCGAGATACTGAATGCCGACGCAAGCTCCGGCGGAATCAACGTCTGAGACAGAGGAGTAAGATCATCAGCATCCGGCAAACCCGTCTCCCATTCAAACACCCTCTCCTCATGAGCTCCGTTCTCATCACCACCACCACCACCACCGCCGCCGCCGCCGCCACTCTCATATTCGCTCATCTTCACCTCCTCCCCCATCCTCCACTCCAAAAACCTAGGGCTCACTCCCCTGTTCAGCTCCAAAACGAGATTAAATCAAGTCAACAACAAAATAAACCTAATAGCTCCGAGGGCTTAGCTCTACAAATCGGTGACAGTTACAATCGCAGTCGGGAAAATTGAGGCGAAAGAGAGAAGACAGAAGAAGAAGAAGAAGTATGAAGAAATGGAAACAATCAACAAAATCAATTGGTTTAGATATTTCGAGATATTCGGAACTGCCAACAAAAAGAGAGAAAAATAGTAATAATTTAAAAAAAAAAAAAAAAAATCTTTTTAATTAAAATTTTTAAAATAAAAATAATAAATGGCAAAAGGCCATAAAAAGTGCACTATCCGTTTCCAGATCGGCCTGTGCCCTTTGCCAACGTGGAAGACTTACCCAGATATTTTTGATCCGCTAAATATCTTTACTCCAATTCCCACGCACTCTACTCAACACTTATCTCCCTACTCGCTATACATTTTCTCCACGTGTCTCTTTCTCAGGTAAGCAGTCAAAAGTAATGACGTGGTAGCCATTTGATTGGTGGAACTACGGAAATCCTTAAACGGCGCGTGATTCGTTGGGCGGATCCACGTAAGCAAAGAGGGTGTAATTTTATAGGGGCATTTATGTCATTACGCGGATTTAATATTGTTTTATACCGACTTCTAAACTTGGCCCGTGGGCTTCTTCTTTTAACAGAAAATTTCCTTTTAATTTTTAAAAAATATAATAATGGGTAATTAGTGGAGTGACCAATTGGAAGAGGGGAAATTGCGGGACAGCTGTTAAACGGCGGCCTTGAGTTTTGGCCTTTCAGTACGGCCAAGATTGAGATAATGTACTTGCTCCTTACTGCAAAAGAAATCATTTTTTCCTTCTTTTTCTTTTATATTCATATAGTTTTCTTATGTTAAAATATTGTGTTATTTTTAATTAATTTAGGTTGAAGTCGAGTAAATTAGTTGAACTAATTGATTACGAGGTGATATGATGATGTCACTAAGTAGTGAATTACGAGATGATATGATGATGTCACTAAGTAGTGGGAGAAATTCGTATATCTTTGACTCAACCAGAGAGTCATATTTACAAAGATTACCGGAGAATCTTTGACAAATCATATATTTGCATATTTAATATATTAGAATATCATGTTTAGAAATTATAAGATATCCTAATTATATATTTAACTAATTTAAATGATTAAATACATTAATTGATTTAATATTTAATTGCATAGGATACCATAAATATATTTTTTCTTTAATATATCTCATATATTAAATATTAATTTGATATTTCAAATTAAATTTATTTTCTTATGAGCTAGCAAGTGACTTTATGGACGGCAGACTATAAGACCCCAATGATACAAAATTAATTAATTAAATTTTTTAATCAATCAATTTCCATTTATTAACTATAGGTCACTCCACTATAGACTTAGAGTTGCACTCTTATATAGGTCACTCCACTATAGACCTATAGTTGCACTCTTATATAGGTCACTCCACTATAGACTTATAGTTGCACTCTTATGCACTGCCGGACAAGTTATGTCCATTGATATAACCATTACAAGTAAGTCAATATTTCACGAGTGGTTCATAATTACAGTTGGGTCAAAAGTTCGTTTTACCCTTTAATTACATCTTTCACCTTAAGTACCACTAATTCTCTAATAAACAATTTGTTTATAATTCAATCATAAACCAAGTCCCTCTCGGGCCAATGAGAGGGTGGGGCTCCATTGTGAGTCCCGAAATCAATAATCAAGAGAACTACTCATCTACTTCCCTTGGAAACGAGTGAATTCCATGATATTATCTTTCCTGTTTGTCAAATTCCCAAAATAGTAGACTTCCCTGTTTGGTCAATTCCCAAAATAGTAAACATGTTGAATTGACTAACAAAGTCATTCTCATCCAGAACAAGTTCACAGTAAAAAGTTCATAACCCACTTAAGATTAAGATTGAGTCATCATGTAATATTAATCTTCTCAATTAACTGATTTATAAAGATTGATTAAATATTTCTTGGTAAGTCTTATACAAACTCATTGTATAGGATATCCCCACTTACATGTCTACACATGAACGATTTGGATCAGATTATTTGTAACGATTACAAAGTGGACCGTATCAATAATGCTACTAGGATAAAGTTAGATGATTTATCCTAGTAATTCATATACTATATCTATATACTATAGACTTGTTAGGTTATTCCTTGAACACGATCCTCTTGTATGCCAACTTATTCAAGATTACATTAATAATCTTGAATTTTCATACAATGGATAACAATTAAATTACAAATAAAATAATAAAAATTATCATTAAAAACTAAATAATTAATTACGAGACTTTAGGACATAAATTCCAACACTTAATATATTTTTTAGATTGAAGTTTAGTTGCATGATCGAAACAAGAGTGCAAACGAGCTGTCGGGGTATGGGGTTAAGATAAATAATGAGTCTTGGTTTTGACTCCCAATGATTTAGTGTGTATATGTGTGTATATATATATATATATATTAAATATAACTATTATGTTTATACATGATATATAAAGAACAAAGTAAGTGGCTATAAAAAAATGAAGATGCCTTATCTTGATAACTTATTTTATTACACGATATTAAAAATTTAATTATTTAATTAACCCATTATTATTTATTAATTAAAGGTGGTTTTATTATAGACTCAAAGTTGTACTTTTATACACGGTAGAATAAATTGTGTATATTAATATAATATTTACAAATAAGTCGATTCGTCACAAGTTGTTTATAATTACAATTGAATTAAAAGTTTGTTTTACTCTTGTAATTACTTTTATACTTTAATATCATTGATTTGTTAATGAACAATTTGTTTATGATCTAATAATAAAAGTCTCTCTGAGCTGTTGAGAGGGGTGGAGTCCCAATGTTAAAGCTCTAAAATAAAGACTTAAGTGAACTACTCATCTACTTACTTTATATCGGAAAGACTAAATTTCATCGAGTAAGATTTTGTTCTCAATACCCTATTTAGTCAAATTCTTAAAATGGTTGACACCTCTCTTAATTAAAGGTTTCCTAAAATGGTTGACACCCATGTTAATTAAAGAACAAACCTTCTGTATAGAAGCTCATAACTAATACAGGGGTACATGTATGATCATTTTGTAAAATATTAATCTTATAAATTAACGAATTTATAAAAATAATTTAAATATTTCGTGATTCAGTTTTATATAAACTTATTAGATAGAATACCTCCGCTCATGTGTCTTCATATATACGATTTTGATCAACAACAAATAAAATAAGTGTTTTTAAATTTAAAACCATTGAAATAAGTGTTTTAAATGATTGACATCCAAATACCAAGAAATCTGACCGTTATCCGACCATTTTTGCCGGAATTTGACAATTAGCAATCAGCTCAAAGCTTCCGTTGGCGGCCATATGTTTCCATTCAAGCATTTCAACAAACAGGTGAAGTCCCGTTTGGTGCACTTCAATTCTCCTCTTCATCTAAGGCCTACTCCATTGATAACTCGTCTCAATGCTTCTACTAATTCTTTTCCAACGTCATTCTTCCCGAGAACGACGAGAATTCTCCCGTATTTGGGATGCAACGGGTCACGTTTGATTCAGTGAGAGGTACCCTTTCTCGAGTTACCCTTTTTGAGGTTGTCAATGTTGAGGGTTGTTGGGAGAGGAGTCCCACGTTGACTAATTAAGGAGAAATCAAAATTTGTGGTTCTTAATATAGTATCAGAGTCATGCCCTTAACTTAGCTACGTCAATAGAATTCTCAAGTGTCGAGCAAAGAAGTTGTCAAAGTTGTAGTCAAAAGCGACTTAGTCGAACCTCGATTAAGGTGAGACTGTTTGAGGGCTCCATAACTCCAATGACTGTGTAGACTTACAATTGAGTTTCACATTTTACACTTAGAGCTTGAATTTAGATTTGAAAAGTGAGCGATCTATATGAATGATATTCATCATTGTTTTACCCGATTGGGTTACCAATTTGAATTAAATCATCTAATAGTTCCTTCTCTCTATTCCCTGCCCACCGCACAATAATTGCACAGACCTATGAGATCCTATATCGGTTGGGAAGAAGAACGAAATATCCTTTATAAGAGAGTGGAAACCTCTCCTTATCAGACGCGTTTTAAAAACCTTGAGGGAATCCCCGAAAAGAAAAGCCCGAAGAGAACAATATATGCTAACTGTGGACTTGGGCTGTTACAAATGGCATCAGAGCCAGACACCGGGCGATGTGCCAACGAAGGAGGTTAAGCCCCAAGGGGGGTGGACAATAGGTGGTGTGCCAGCGAGAACGTTGGGTCCTGAAGGGGGATGAATTGTAAGATTTCATATCGATTGAAGAGTAGAACGAAACACCTGTTTATCGTGTTTTGTATTCCCATATAAATAGCATTAATAGCAATATGCTATGCCCCATCTTTGTCTAACTAATTGCTATGGTAAATAGAAAGGCTTTCCTTTTGAGCGTCTATTAGGGAGAGGTTTCCACCCCCTTCTAAAAAATGTTTTGTTCTCTTCTCCAATCGAGGTGGAATCTCATACTCCACTCTCCTTCAGGCCCAGTGTTCTCAATGGTACTCGTTCCCCTCTCCAATTAATGTATCTCACAATCCTCTTCCCTTCAGGGTTCAGCGTTCTCGCTAGCACTCATTACTCTCTTCGATCAATGTGGGATCTCACACAAATGTTCATTAGATTTAACACTTTCGTTCGATATAGCTCTCTCTCCAGCCTGTTCTAACTAAATCACAGCCTCCCTCTTCCCCCACATCATGGCCTTCTATCTCAGTGTGATACCACACTTTTTCCCCCTTTTTTTGGTATTACAAATGAAGATAGTCTCAAAACTTTTCTGTTGCTTACTCGTGACTAACCCGTCTGTGTTGAGCATCCATGAACTGCTATCTTTTTCTTCAAAACTTGGGTTCAATCATGCTTTTACCCACCAATATTCAACCATGTTCTATATTGCTTTTCATGCAAATCTATTGTACAAAGTGTATGTAAGATTTTGAATCATCATGTTTTGTACAATGATTTATAAAATCTAGATTTATCATTATATGTGGTATGATGGCATGCACAGCAAATGTACGTGCATATCTGATACGAAGAGGGGCGGGGGGCACTCAGGAATCCCTTATTGACTATTCCATTATATGGGAAAAAATCA